TTCTCTCTCTCTCTCTCTCTCTCTCTCTCTCTCTCTCCCCTTCCCTGCCATCACCCGACTCGTGGGGGACTAATGGGTCCTCGGCACCGCTCTCAACCTCGCGGTCGCTAGCTGACACCTTCCATGCAAATTAGCATACCTAAGAGTGATTACTCGGGTCCATTTGAGCAAGAGGAGCGACTCTTGGGTCCTCGAGACCTCCCTCTCTCTCTCTCTCTCTCAACTTCGCCTACTGGTACTGGCCGTCGCCCTGACCGAGAACTGTGCACTGTTCATATAGTAGGCTGCATCACGCCAGAAATCTAATACATTACTTATTGGATGTGACGTGTGAATCAAATCGTTACTTTGACAAGTCACATCAAAAAATCTGAAGTTTGATATCTCTATTTAAATTATAAATAAAAATCTGAACTTTGAAGTCGATGCACAACAAGAAAAACCTAATTATTTTTTTGTTTAGTAGTTTCATATATGTTTTATGGTCTAGGAGTATCTTTCTAAGGTATTTATAATAATCCTTTTTTATAGTAGTGATTTGCTCCTTTTTCGTTCGTAAATGTAGGTCAATTGACCAAACCACGTAAATTTTTTTTTATTACCAAATTACTCTTTTGATAAATTTCTTGAGACTAGTTCTAACATAAACTTATAGATGAGCAAACCGAAACGACGAATAAGTATGATTACTCGCTGCGGCCCACACAAAAATATACTCGCAATAAGTAGGTCTTTCAATGCTGTCAAGCTTTAATAAATCAGATTAAAGCAATATAATTATGGCACGGCCAGCTTTTCAGGCACATATATCACCTCTACTTAAGAGAGAGAGAGAGAGAGAGAGAGGAAACGGAGTAAATGCAAGCATCAAGAAATTATTCGGGTCAAGTCAATATAATTAAATGCAATGCATCGAGAACATGAAGGCCTTGGGGAGAGACTCCGACGCCGCCATGACATTTGGCGGCTTAGGTGGGAAGCTGCAGGTGATTAAAGCCTCTCGTTCATCATCTTCCTCCTCACTTTATTCTGATTTGGGCTTCGTACCTCTATTTATTTTTTTTCTTTTTAGGGTTTGTACTTTCTAGATCATTAAATTGTCATCGCCATGCATTATGTATCACAACCATGGATGGATTGTTGTATCATTTGAAATGATATAAAATATTATAGATTATATTATTTTATTTAATTAGATAAGATATATTATAGATATAATTAATTTTTTATTATCATTATCGATCAATCGAAAAGATTTCTAATTATGATAAAATTTCTTATAAATGACCGATAAACTATCATAATTATTTTTAACTCCTAAGGTACTTAATTATTTTGCTCACGTAAGATTTCAATACTTTAACTTATCATGATCGCTTGTTATTATGCTTGTATACTTATTTCTAGCATAGTAGTAGTTTGTTCTCTTACTTTAACAATAAAGGTGGATGGCTCTTATAGACAAGAGTGCTTTATTCTAGCCCTTGTCTCACCTACGGTCTTTGAATTAAAGAAATAAATAGTATATTATATAATCTATTAACAAAACACCTATTTTGTTATCTTTGGCTCTCACCTATATATAAACATAATCTAGGATGATATGACTCTCTACACCATCAAATCAAATAGGAGAATAAGAGTCTACCTTAACCACATTTAAGGTACCTGATTAAAAGATAGATTTAGACCCTCCCGTTTTGAATAATGAAAAAAAAACTTTGAGGCATATCGACCGACATACTTCACATATCGTAAATTAGATTCAAATTTGATTATACGAGGCTGAAGTTGTCCATGTCAACCCTCGATAATCAAATTGTTTCAGGCTTATATAGCTGATACAATCAAAATTTGGGTCGAAGAGAACTCGGTGCATTTAAACTTTTCGATATCCAAAAGTGCTTATTTTTATAATGATCGATTTTGGAATCAGAATCGTCCGTTTCGATTGATCTAAGGAGTTTCAATTCCAATTTGAATCGTAAATTTTTTTATTTAAAATAATTTTAAAATATGAAAAATATTTATAAGTTTATTTTTAAATAGTGAGTATAATAATCTTAAAAAATTGATATAAAAATTATAAATAAATAAAATAAATGTGACTATCGATATTCGACCACATGTTCATTGGGTTTTAAAACTAAGAGTAGTAGAGTTTAACCACTTCACATATACATAAGCTCTCTATTATGTATTTTATTTTTTTTTATAGACTTAATCGAATTAAAGCTAGAATCATGGATTCTGATTTTTTTTTAATTAAAAACTAGAACCAAATTGGTGAGGATAAGCTTCGATTCAATTTAGAACCAAATTGTCCATAAGCTCTCTAACCCGAAGCCGTACACATATTTATTTAAAATTTGTCCTCAAATATTAACCGAAGAAATGAAGTTTTCATATCATTTTAAAAAGCTTGGTTCGATCGGAAAGAAATGGTTTTCACAACCTTGGGAGCCTCAACATCACGCTTTTTAATATCTCATAATCATCGCTTAACCAGATTCCAAACTTTTTTTCTAAGGATAAATTATGAGGTGAGAACGATGTGCCAAAGGAAAAAAAATAGTTTGCTCTCACTTGCAAACTCATAGTTAGTCGTCGATCACTCACTCGCAAACTCATCGTAAACCATCGTCAGTCATCGATCTGGTAATTTTGATATCTAAAACAAACTTCATATATAACAATTTACTAATGAACAAAAGTTATTATTGGATATCGAAGAGCTTAGATAACACCTTCCATTAGAAACTAATCGACTATGATGGAGATTAAATAAATTTAATAAGAATGAGAAAAAAAAAAAGAGTGAAAATGAGTGAAAAAAGGGTGAGGGTGAGGCTTTTATAAGTCCAAAAATATCTAGTGACATGTGAAGTGTCATGTCATCGTGATCAGTATAATGATCGAATCGGATCAGTATATATCACTCGTCGTTTTGTATTATTTTTGATGGTACAATACATAATGCATAATCAGAATGATGCCTAATCTACTAATCGACATAAATAGTACAAACTATAAACAACAGAAACGACACGCGGAGGAAGAAGGAGAGGATTTAATCTCCTGGAGATTCCCACCTTAGCTGCCAAAGGTCATGGCGGCGTCGGAGTCTCTCGCCAATGCCTTCATGTCCTCGATCACCGTCGTAGGTTCTCAATTGGATTTATTTGGTGGGCGGCGGGGACGAAGCAATGGAAGCCGCAACCCACACGAGCGATGCCATCGTTTCCTCTCTCCATCCCTCCTCCATATATAAGTTCTCAGTGCGTGCATCGTGGCACCTATAAATTCTAGATGCATGCATTTCAATTTGTTTCGATGCGTGCATAGTGATCATTAGCTTGCTGATTTTAGATAAACATCTGAATAAACATTGTTGCATGATAATTCGTGTATGTCGTTTAATATAAAGAAAATTGAGAGAGAGAGAGAGAGAGAGAGAGGCGTGGCAGCTCAGGATCAATGGAAGCTTTTGACCGTAAGCAAATTCTTCTTCTAATCTATAATATTTAGGTGCTGATCTCATAATTTATCGTTAAAAAAAGAGATTGGAATCTGGTTAGGCGATGTTTATGATGAGATATTAAAAAGCCATGATGTTGAGGCTCCCAAGGTTGTGAAAACCATTTCTTTCGGATCGAACCGAGCTTTTTAAAACAATATGAAAGCTTCAATTCTTCAGTGACAGTTTTTAAATAAATATTTATATAGTTTTGATCATATTTCGATTCAAATCAAATTGATCTAATTGTTTATCGGTTCCAAATTGAATCGAAAGTAATTTAATTGTTGTTCTTGATTTTAAAATAAATTAAAATCGATAATTCAATTCCAAACCAACCGTTCTAACTTTAAATCGATTAAGTATGTGAATTTATGTATATGTGAAGCGGTTAAATGTTATTTTTAAACCTAATAAAGATAGGTTCGAATATTGAGAGCCACATTTATTTGATTAAATTTTTTTATAATAATAATAATAGTTATACATATTTTTTTAATTTAAAAAATAAATAAATATTTTTTTACTTGAACAAAAATACCCTAAATCTTTTATTAAAATAACTTGGTCGCATATGCTATTAAAAAAATCGATGACTAATTATCGCATGATTCTCGAAAAAAAAAGTGATACTAATCATCTTAGATTGATTATTTTTTTTTAAAAAAAAAGATAATTAATTATTAAAATTATTTTTTTTAAAAAAAAAACATCTATGATAAAATCGGTAAATGTATGAGAATATTTTCGTCTAAATAGAAAAAAAAAAAAAACCCCTAGGTGAAAATTAATATGATACTTTTTCGAGGGGATAAAAGATCGACCGAGAGAGGCAAACTGATAAGGGTTATTTGCGAAGTGCAAGTCACCGATGATTATTATTATTATTATTATTATTTGCGAAGTGCAAGTCATTTTGTCACGGAGGTATACGCGTATCGATGCTTAGCGCGTTAACTTAATGACGCAGTCAACTTTGTTGACCGGGGAACCTTCTGCCGTGCTGCAAGGAAAAAAGCTTTGGTTGAATCGTCATCCTTGAGCAGAGATAAGAGACCTGTTTACCGTATAGAACAGCCTTCCCTCCGTTGTTTCTGCACCGCTACATTTCTCTATCTGCCTTTCTACGCCACAGACCGGCTATGGATCCTCGTCGCGTGGTTTGTCCGGATAGCGCCTTCGACTGGCTTCCCCAAGTCGGGTTCCTGTTTCTCACTTTCAACTCACTCAACTCCGCATACCAGTCTCGCCGCGACACCGGCGCGCTGGCCTTCGTGGTGGTCGCCTACGTCGACCTGTTGATGCTCTCCTTCTGCCTCAGGCGGCTGGAGAAGATGGCTCCCGATGACCCACCGGAGCACAAGAAGCGGACTTTGGCGGCTGTTTGGGTCCTCTTCACCGCTCTCAACCTCGCGTTCGCATGGCGGGTGGCGGAGATATTGCCGCCGCTACTGGCTGTTGCCATGGGTGGATTCTACGTTCTGATCATCTACCCGCAAGCGGATGGCTGTTCCGACAGAAGCATGATTCCATCAGCCGAACAAAACGTCTGAGCTAACGGGTCGGGCGGAGCACTATCTCCGCCACATCCATTTATTTCCCTTCTTTTCGTTTACATAAGAATCTGTTTCTGATCGACTCGATGTATCTGATGAAGCCTTTCCTACTTAGAAGAATGGATGAGAGCTTACGTCTTGATCCAAACCTCTGTATATAGTCTCCTTATTTTGGAACGATTTCTCA